TGATAACGATATTAGTAATAATAAAAATAATGATAATAACAATAATAATAATAAAATAATAATTATAATAGTACTAGTAATAAAAATGATAATTATACTCGTAGTAATAATAATAACAATGATAATGATAATAATAATAATAATAATAATAATAATAATGATAATAATAATAATAATAATAATAATAATAAATAATAATAATAATAATAAATAATAATAATAATAATAATAATAATAATAATAATAATAATAGTAATGATAATATCAATAACAACATCAATAAATGAATAGATAACTAAATAATGCCAATAACATTATCAATGATGTCAGTAATGATAACAATAACAAGGAGAAAAGATTATCAACAACAAAAACAATAGTAAAAACATGATAACAACCGTAATAAGAACAGAAATAACATAAAACAAGGAAAATGACATATATTTCATACATGTTCAGATACGTAATGAAAATAGCTTTTCTCAATGATATTTACCAAGAAGTTTCAATAATCATGTACGTAATGAAAAAAGTAAATAAAGTAGTTTAAGGATATAAACAATTTACATCCTGCTTTCTTAAACGATAATATAAGATAAATAACTTGCCATTCCTATAAATATGTAGCTCGGTTTCTATTTCATTTAAAAAAAATACAAAATGTGAAATATTTCTGTATTTTTGGTTAAATTTCTTAGATCTTTTGGCTTCATTGATAATCAAATCCCTACCGCAACCTGGAATTAATTTTACTAACCCGACTTCCCATGGGAAGGATAATTCGTCTCTTCAGCAAGGAAACTGCAAGTAATTTATTTTGTTTCGTGTATTCTATTTCATAAGAACAGAAGTGTAAACTTTAGTGGATATGATCCTAAAGATATTTTCCGCAAAAACGGAAGTCTTGTTGGATGTCTGATTAAAAGTTGAAAAGGAAAGATTTAGATTTTTTAAAACTTCTACAAGTTAGATATTTATTTTAACACTTGTTATTATTTTTCTTGTATGTACATAAGTAATTTAGGTATCAAAACCTTTCAGAATGATTTATTATACTCCGTTTGTTATGATTCGTAAAGAAATCGTGAGATATAAATAGGTTGCTTCAAGGAATGTAAATGCAAGTACTTATGTGTAATAGTTTAGTAATGTTGTTTAAATAGCATTTCATTTTGATAATTAAATTTTTAGAAGGCAACCTCAGTTGCTTTTCAGAAAAGTTTTGTTTCACAGCCATATAACCTGGCATTTATTATTCCTTGTCAATTATTCACATTATTATATACATCAGTTGCTGTTGTTTCCCATGACATACAGGTGCAGATGAGTTAAATAATAGTATTGGTAACAGTTTATTAAATGACTGCACCTCTCTCAAAATAAGTCCCTATTGCACCAGCCACTCATGGAAATCCAGGAACACCACCACATGAACTAAAAAGCTTCCTAACCCAAAACTTTGATCCCAGATCCCCATCTGATTGTCATGTTTCCCAATCAGGATCTCTACCTTCATACCCCCTCGCAATTGCCATGGACTTACTCATCACATGTCATTAGTTACAGTCTATTTATTTCATTTCTGATGTTATTCTGAGTCTGCACAGATTATTTCATGTATCTGTGAATGTAGTGTTTCCCTTTCCTCATGACAGTGTTATTAGATTTTTTTTTTTAATGGGGCCTTTTTCTTGTAATTACTTGGTGTTCACTTTATTTAAAAATAGCTGTAACATGTCAAGTCCAACCTGACAGTCGCACAGTGTCAGGCAGTCATTGCAGCCTACATATTAAGTGATCAGGATAAAATCCACATACTTCTACATTCTGATAAGACAGCTTGAACTGATTCCATAGTTGAAAATAAAGTTGTAGAATATTCTGGTGGAAGGTGTGTTAGCTGACCACTGTAGGCCAGTGGCAAAGGTATATGTAACTTTTTGAAGTCAATGTATAAATATGTATAAAAATGTGATGTGTGTGTGTTTGTGTTTCCATATGTGTTTACGTTTGTCTTTGTGTTTGTGACAATGATCTCTTTCCAGACCTGTTTTAAATGAGATGACGTCGGGCAACCAGTGTTTACTCCTAACCTTGAGTTTGGTATCACTGTTACTATGTCTCCAAGCTCATTTTGTGTTCAGTCACCCGCCGGTCACAACCCGCCCTCCTGATGCAGCTCAACCCTGGAATTTGCATGGGACTCCTGGTGATGGCTATTACACTGAAGTGCAAATTGGGACTCCACCACAGAAGGTATGTCTGGGCTCTTTTTTATTATATATGTATATTGTGCAAATTAAGGTGACTTTAGAACGTATTATATATTAAGATGTACAAGGAAGGCAGGTACTTTGTACGTATCTGGGTAAGATCATTACAAAAATCATTCTTTCTATAATTTTATATATGAAGTTCAGGATTTCAAAGCAGCACATATGAATAGGGGAAAATTCAGGGTGATTCTTCTCCCATTTTCCTGCTTCCTTTTTAAGATATA